CATTTTCATTCCCGTTCTGTGGATGAAGAAACTGAGGCAGAGAGGAGGTGCGTCTCCGGGCACAGGGCGGGGTCCGCACGGCACCCTGACTTCCCGATGGGGGACAGCCGGAGGGCTGGCCGGGCTCGGGCTGCCCCGGGGCCCGGGCCACGGCACCTGCGGCTCCAGCGGCCGACGTACCATCTCCACGTTCTCCCTCGTGAGCTTCTTGAGCTTCTCCTCCATCCGCTGGATGCTCTGCAGCAGGTCCTCGTTCTTCTTGCTCATCCTCTTGTTCTTCTCCACCAGCGGCTTCAGCTGCACCTCGGTCTCGCGGGAGCGTTTCAGCTGCGGGCAGAGGGCAGCGCGGGCGGCCGTGAGCCATGAACGGCACACCTTCCTCGGGACTGAGCGCCAGACGGGCCCGCAGACACGGGGCTTCCGACCCGGACCCAGTGAGCCTCAGAGGGCCTGGGTGACGGGAGAGGAGCCCAGCGGGGGCCCCCGGATCTGCCCCAGGGCACCCTGCCGGCCAGCGGTCTGTGCTGTGTCCATTAGGCTACACTTCTAGAGGTCATGGGTCACATGCATAAAGGTCAATCCCACTACCTATAGGAATCCCCAAGTTCAGACCTCAGAAGGCTCCACCCTCTGCAGACAACAGACAAGCCCTGGGTGCCTGTGTGGCAGACAGCACTAGGGATGGAGCGCTCTGTAGTCAGGTCTGCATTCTAGAACAATCTGCCTCTCCAACTGCTGTGTGGAGGCCAATCTAGCGAGGCAGAGACTTTTGGGGGGATGGGGAGCAGGGACTGGGGAGCCTGCATGATTAGGGGTGCCCCCCTTTTCCTTCTGAGCAGCGTCCTGGCTGACACGTTTTCCAGCTGCAGGACACTGGCCCAGTTCTCAGCCTCAGTTTCCTCATCTATAAAATGGGGATTTGCCATGTGTCCAACCAGTAGGAGGTCCTTCCGGGCCTTCTCTCTCATTCGACCTTCGCTACACATCTAGGAGCGGGCCCCATCCCTGTCCTCATGCCACAGACAGAGATCCTGTCCCCAAAAAGGTGGGCGATGTGCTCAAGGTCACACAGAAAGTGCTAGAACCAAGAGCTGAACACAGGGACTGACTTAGATGCCTGCTTTTAGTCACCAGGCTGCGAAAGTTAAGACACAACCCTCCCCTGGTGCCCCTCAAAATACAAAATGTAGCTGTGACCTGCACATTCCATTTCCAGAGGCCCACCCCACAGAATGAAGGCCCAGTGAGTAAAGGGGAAATGTGTCATCTGTGTGGCATTGTTTATAACAGCAAAGAAGCCTGAACAGCCAGAACCTCCTGGCAGGAGAGGCTGGGTACGCCATGCTGTGTCCACACGGTGGAGTACAATGCAGCCATCAAAAAGATGAAGGCAGCCCGACTGGTGGGGCTCAGTGGTTGAGCATCAACCTATGAACCAGGAGGTCACGGATTGATTCCCAGTCCGGGCATATGCCGGGGTTGCAGGCTCAGTCCCTGGTTGTGGGGGGAGGGGGAGGGTGTGCAGGAGGCAACCGATCAATGGTTCTCTCTCATCGCTGATGTTTCTGTCTTTCTCTCTGACACTTAACACTTTTCAACTCCCATGGTTTTCAAATATTATGGATACACTTACTTTCATAATAAAATGTAGAATAAACAGAAGTGTTATGCAGTGTTTTTCAGGCAGTTTGTGGGTTGACTATGCTACAGAAAAATCAGGTTAGCTCTTTATCCAAAAAATGTAAAGGTAGTTAAGAAATTGCTATTTTTAGTAGAGATTTATTCCTTAATCAAAAATCCATGTTCATAATATTTAAATTAGAAATAGGCCACCTTTGATGCAAAAAAAAGTAAATAGGTAAGCAAAAGATAAAAGCTATCTGTAATCACACCCCTAAAGCAATTCCCAGTGCCCAGGGTGACAATACATTTTTGTTCTAGAAACTGTCCTTCGTCCTATGAACCAATGTTTCTGGCAATTAAACATGATCAGTACTGGTCATGCTTTGTTTGTTTTTTGTTTGTTTGTTTTTTAATCCTCACCCAAGAATATGTTTCCATGTGTTTTTAGACAGAGTGGAAAGAAAGGGGAGAGACAGAGAGAGAGAAACATTGATGTAAGAGAGACACATCAATTGGTGTGTCTCCCCAACATGCCCCAACTGGGGCAGGAGATCAGGCCTGCAACCAAGGCATGTGCCCTTGACTGGAATCGAACCCGGGACCCTTCAGTCCAAGGGCTGATGCTCCAACCACTGAGCCTAACAGGCCAGGGCGGCACCGTCATTCCTAACGGCTGCGTACAATCATTGTGTGAGTGTTCCCTGGTCGCTCTGACCCACACTGGAGCGCCAAACAGTGGGGCGTTTTGTTTCGCTTCTGGTTGCTGTTACAAACCACACCCGTGAGCATCCTCTCCACACCTCTCTTGGAACTTCTCCGACAGTCGCCAAGGAAAACCCCTGCAGGGGCAAAGGGCAGGGACAGGCTTCGAGGTGAGTGTGTGCCGGATGTTCGACCACAGATAAATGAGGAAGTGCAGAGAGCCGGAGGCTCCGCGTTAGCTTCCTGCCAAGCCAGCTTCGCGGTCCCCCCTCCGTCTCTGGGGCCGGTTACCAGTTCATTCCTCTCATCTGCCAGGAGGGTGTTTCTGTCTTCCAGCTTCCGGATCACCGAGTTCAGTTCCGCAATTTTCAGTTGAAACCGCCTCACGTCTCGCTCATCCATGTGTTGATCCTAAAAGATACGAGTGCACATTGAAGAGGCAGGAGTGACTCGGGGCGCTCCAGGGACCACCTTCTTAGAGAACTCACAGCGTCTCGGCGAGCTAGCCCCCAGCGGCACCAGACCCCATTGGGGTTCCAGGAGTCCAACCCCTCTGCCAGCAACTTGCAGAAAGACTTCCTACCAAACCCACCCATGGCTCCCACACACCCGACCTGGTCTCTGGGGACCTCCGGGTTGGGGCCCCTGCCCACTCTGTGCCCTGACTGCCCTGGCGAGGGTGCCAGCACTCCGCAAACACGCACGAGACGCGGGGATAGTGAGTGAGTGAACGAATGGACGGACGGACGGATGCTGCTGCAGCTGCTGCGCCTGGTAAGCACCACGCTGCCGCCCCAGATGCCCGTCTGTGGCTGCGCCCCTCCTCATGTCCTGCTTTGGCTGGGCCCCTCTGTGCTCTCACGGCACAGCCTGCACTGCACTGACGTATTCACTTCTTTTTTTTTCTTTTTTCCTCACCTGAGAATATTTTGCCATTGATTTTTTTTTTTAGAGAGAGTGGAGGAGATGCAGTGGGGAGGAGGGAGGGGGAGGGAGAGGAAGGAGGGGGGGAGAGAGGGAGAGAGAGCGAGAAACATCCATGTAAGAGAGATGCATCGATTGGTTGCTTCCTGCATGTGCCCTGACTGGGGCCAGGGATCGAGCTTGCAACTGAGGTACATGCTCTTGACCAGGAACCAAACCCACGACCCTTCGGTCCATGGGCCAACGCTCAAACCACTGACCCAAACCGACGGGGCCTGATGTCTTCATTTCTTTCTTTTCACCTGGAGGCAGGTGAAGACCCCTGGAGGCAAAGCCGCCGCGGCCCACCCCTCCGCTCCCAGTGCCACGCAGAAGGAGTGTCAGCCGGTTTGGGGAGGAAGGGCTGAGAGGGATGGGAGGATGGGCAGGTGGGTGGAAGGAG